TCTAACACTAATATAAGAAAAGTCCATCCTCCTGCTCCACTTTTCAGAAAATGTGTTGCTCAGACAGGCCGTTTGGAGATTTTCCCCTCATGACATCACATGATCAAATACAGGATTAGAGTGGATTTATAAGAAGAAACTTCACAGGCATGTTTTTGGGAGCTCTGAGACTTACTTAAACTGGTTGAAAGGGACAATAATATGTGACAATTCCTTTAAAAGAGACACCAATTCAGTGTATTGACTGACTGTTGTAATCACTTTCAAGTTGCAGAAAGTTGACAAAGTTGATTTTGTATTTTATTTTCAAATGTATGCTGAAGAGAAGTGAAAGCTTGAGCAGGTCTCTGATGTTGTAGATAGACTGATGTAGTTCACTCGGTTTGATGTAAGGGCACAGAGTTGGCAAACAATGGAGGACTTTTTCCTCGAAAATGGGTTCATTGCAGACCATTAAATTCAACATTGTGTTATTTTTAAAACCAAGAACACGATGTTTCCTTTTATTCACTGAGTACTTTTTGTGCCCGGACCTAATGAAACACAGCATTTTGGTTAGAAAAAAAGAAACAGCCGGCCTTGGAAATGTCAAAAAAACATACTTTGGTGAATGCTATAACAAGCGGAGCTACAACACAGATCATGACAAGCGTCCGTATTTGATGACTGGAGATGCTAATGCATTAGACGTACGTTAGCACAGCAATGTGGAAAATATCTTGTACATGGTTGTGTGAGATTCATTTTGTTAATCATCCTTTACTTCCATTCAGAATATTTTCTCAGCATTAATAACCTTTTAACCTTTTTTTTCCTTTTTTTGTCACCTGCTAGTTCTGGCTCAATAACACAGATGCCTCTTTGGCAGGAAGTGAAGTGTTTCTGCTGGTTTTATCACCTGCCCCCTTTTCCTCTTTTCACCAGCTGTGAGTGGCAGGTAAAAAACAACGGTGTTAAAACAATGACTGAGCATCTCCATCACACATCACTGCGCCAAATCGCCATTAAAGGTTGTTTGAGCTTTCTTTATTTTTAATCCATTTTTGGAATCTGTTTCAGCAGCCAAGCTCCCCCTTTGAATCAGATCAGTTGTAGTATGAGCTGTTTTCACACATGCACTCCTATAAATAACTACATCATTTAACTAGGATTTCTCCTGACCTGGCTGTTCACATATTCACCTCACAGTGGGAGACTATCCTTTTCAGACGGGGGTGTGTGTGTGGGGGTGGGTCTCCAAAGGGAAGATGTGATGCTATACGCTATATGATGCTATAATGAGAGAATATTTGTCTTCATATGCTACATGTAATTCAACGGAATCACACTATCAACAAAAGTAATAAACTTTTATCATGTGCACAGAGATCATAGCGGTCGTGTGCAAACAGTCTGTGGTCGTGCACTGGTCACAGGATATGAACGCAACCAACCCCTCACTCGCTCGAGGTGAATTCTCTGGATAATATCCCGCTGTGTTCTCACATCAGCTCACTCGGACAAAATACTAGGGGGCTGGCAGGAGAGACTCCGGGTGAAGTCTGAGGGAAAAATGTGTCTGTTTGCGTTCACACATACTCCTGCAAATACCAGGAGTTCTTCAGGAGTTTTTTGCAGTTGTGAAACGACTAACAGTCTCTTTTATTGTCCCATTTCAGCTGACGTGATCACTTGTGTTTTTTGTACAGACTCGCTTGTTTCGGTGCTTGTCCTTTATGCTTATTATGCTGACAGCTGCAGAAGGCCAGTGCTGCATACTCCTTAATTATTACCACCTTTCAAATCATCATCCCGGCCTCGACAGTCCTCGTCCACTTTGTGTAAGTGTGTGTGTCCTTTAGCTACTTAGCTAAGAAGGGAAATGAAATGACTTGAGCAAATTTTCATGTGCAGAGCTGGGCACTCGTGTCAAGAGGTCCTGACTCGGAGATATTTCATGACGCTGCGAGAGGGCAGCTTGCCGAGTTTCTAATTAAAACCGTGTCCTCTGTTAGGTAAAGTGGTCTGCTGACAAGAGTGAACGTAAGGTGATCACCTGTAATGGATTGTCTTAAAAGAGTGCATATTGTGAGTGCTACGTAATGTGGTATCAAATGTAGCCAATTTTGAAATACACATCCAACTTTTTCAAAGCTTCTTTTCAAGAGAACAGCGACTCCTTGGATATAATGAAACCAGCCTCTGTGCCTTTTCCAGGTGAGTGCTGCTGTGTTGAAATCCTCAGTGTCTGATGCAACAGAGAGGTAACTCCACTTAAAAGCTATAGGAAAGTAAAAAACTGATATGACGCCGGCCCCAGTGGACACACAACCGCAGGGCATCTCTTATTGACACTGGCACACTGTTCAACTGACTGTAAAGAAGCAGAGACTGACGACACAGTGCTGAGTTTAGGAGGGAGAGTTTTTTGATAAATGACTTAGATGAGTTGTGCAAGGACTCTGAGGACAAACCTGAACTATTCACACACAAAAACCAACAGGCTGCTCTCGCTGACTTTTCCTTTAAAGGCTTGAACTTATCCAGGACGATGTAGAAACTTTTCCTGCCCTGTAGCATGTTGGATGTCAGCTGTTGCAGTACAAATACTTTTTTTAAAGGTTTATTTTTGGGCCTTTTTTTGGGAGTGAAAGGAGCAGTGGTGAGTCTGTAGCCTCCTCCCAAGCAGTTGCCTGCCTTGCCTGTTGACAAGCAGCTCCTCTGGAAAGGAGCCACTGGTCAGATTTGAAACCTGGGCCGTCCGCTTTGAGGACTGTAGGTTCTACACATGGGGCACACTCACTAACCACTGCGCTACCGGCGCCCCAGAAATACTTTTAAAGCCGACTTGAGGGAGCAGTCGAGGGGAAATGGAGGAATTAAATAGTGTGACTTTCAAATCGGAGTTTGGCTATATGACGACAAGTTCCAATAACAATGGTGCACAGAATTTAGATTGTACTTTTACTACTTAATGCATTAATAGATATAATTATGCAGTTGTAAGCTGCAATAGTAAATTATGCTCATTTCACCATAATCAGTTTCCTGAAAGTAACACCTGCCCTCCATATTGTTGAAATTGCAATATTGCATGAAGGATTCACAGATTTTGGAATTACCAAAATTTTCTTTTAAGTGAATGTTTTCTTGTTGTTTAATTTATATTCAGTGTACTTTGTTAAGTGTCACTCTTGTTGGGGTTTCAGTTATGTACAATGTGCTGCTTTGCATGATCATTTCACTGACTATATTGGAAGACAAATCATAAATATTGCAGTCATTGTATGAATCTGATGCCACATAAAACAAGACCATTTTAAATAACCGGCACTAACACACAGTCTGTTAATCTGTGTGCTTTGAAAGTAAAGCTTTTGGTTGTAGTCCGACCAACTTTGTGCACTTTCTCTCTGTCATTACTCCAGCCCTGCTGATTTACAGTACGGGCTGAATTCAATTACCCATGGTTCTCCGTCAAGCTGCCTGAGTGAGAAATGGCCTTCATTTCACCTGCAGCGTGTTGGCAGCGATCTTAACAGCTTCTGATGATAGACAAAGAGACGAGGCTTCCAAGAGAATCAATTAGAAGATGCAAAAGTGCAGGGCAGGGGGAAGTTTTCATGTCAAGGTATAAAGTAACTTTGTACTATGATATATACAGTAATGAGTGGTTTTGTTCTTACGTCATAGATAAGATCTCTGATATAAATAACCCAGAAAACAGATCTGCTTTATTTTCTGTTTGAGGACCTTCCTCTGCCTCCTTTCCTGTCCTCCCCTGCACAGATGTTTTGTTTTTCCACCTTTGATTTCTCTTTCTCTGCAAATAACCGAACTAAAGTACACAGCTCATTGCTAAGTTGATTGGGTGCTCAGGATTACTTCCACAGTATGCTGTTTATCATTGGTCGGGGCCCCCGTGAAATGAAATGCCTCTCAGATTCATGTTGGGATCCTGCCAGGGTAAATATTGTTGTCTGCTGCTAGTGATTACACACAATTGTTCCTGAGCTATTAAAATGTACAAAACGCCTCTCTGATAATGGAAACACAAGCAAAGAGCAGGAAGTCCATCATTTCTGTAAACCTTGTCTAATAGCAAACAGGTGTGCGGTTACATTCTGATCTTTTTTTTAAGATGTCCTTTCTTTAATTTTTTATGTATTCCAGACTAAAGTCACCCGCTGATAAATGTGCACGGTGAATCTTCCACCTTGGTATTGTAACGGCACTTCTCATGCCGTTGAACAACCCTCCTCCTGCCCTCGCTGCTGAGTGTCAGCCGCTGCAGCACTTTTCCCATTGACTTTGACTCGCGAGGAGCAGAGAAGGAGCGATTCAAAGAAGTCCTCAGCAGGGAGGGTCAGGCAGGAGAGAATACAGATCAGGGGGGGGGGGGGGGGCTCTTCTCCGGCTCATTTTTGTCCTTGGAGAATAGTGAAGGAGGATGGGAGAAAAAAAAAACGACTTCTCTGCTCTGTAACTTTTGACTAGGACATTACGAGACTGGATTGTAGATGGCAGACATTATTTTGTGGCTTCTGCTGGGAGTCTCGATGGTGACTTTGTCCTGTCGTTTGCGTCCGTGCAGCACATTGTATATTCATAATCTTCTCAGTTTTTCCACATTTTTGTGTTTGTCATGCAGCATCTTTGTATGTGTGCAGCATTGACAAACACACCTGATAAGCACTTTTACTTTTAGAGGAATGCGTTCGTCCTTCAGACATTCCCAGATGTTTACTTTTCTTAGTTTGATTCTCTAGCTCACAGTTATCTCTGTATACATTATTATCTTGGTAATTACCAAAGATAAAATGATTGAGTGTGCACAAACACGTCTATAGAGGAGTTTGTGTACATGTCTGACTTTGCCTCAGCATGCACACAGATTGTCTCGTCAGGTTTTATCACATTTTGTTATCACTAATTGGCTGTTGGGAGTATTGACGTGTCATATAGTTATGAAGAGATGTTTAAAAAAGTGATCCTGCTCTTTTCCCCTCTCTCTCTCTCAGGTAACTACCAGCTCTCTCCGACTGTGAACATGCCTCAGGATGACATCGTGATGATCGAAGACGATAGGCCGACCCTGCTTCCTGCTCACCTCTCCGACCAATCGTCCTCCAGCTCCCACGATGACATGGGCTTTGTGGGGGAGAACCCGGTACCCTGGATCCACGAGCTGCCCAGTCAGAACGAATGGTGAGTAGGGGGGTTGTGCTTACTTGTTGTGCATGGTCAGATGCATTATTTAAAAATGTGAATTTCCCCATTGTGGGATAAATAAAGGATTGTCTTATCTTATCTTATCTTATCTATAATTATCTTATATATATTATAACATGATGGGCTTCAGACAGAAGTTGTATCTTTATGTACAGTGTGCAGACGTTTAGGTTAAGTTTTCTATATTTGTGTTGTTAAATGATGATTCCTGCAGGTTAATGATTTTTTTCCCCCTGAGTGGTGAGAGGTTTCCTGACTGGTCCAGGACCCAGGGAATGAGATCTCCTGGTTTAATATTCTGCAGAAATTGGTGGAAAATCCTACAAATATGCTATTTCACAGGGCTATATTCGGAGTTTGTAGTTATTGCAAGTTCTTGCACACATTTATTACATAGCATGATGGCTTTCCTTCGTCGAGTAATCCAGACTACCTGAACTTAACAAACCAGAAAATAACATTTTCATATCACATTCTAAGTTTGTTATGGGAAAGTCTCACATCAGCGCTGCATTTAGAGTCCTCCGAAATGTGAGAAACTTTTAGGTAATGCAGTTTTATAAGACCATGTGGTTAAGTTTGTGTGCCCTGGTCACTGCAGAAGTAACATACATGGCTGTGTGTGTGTTGTATTAAGGATCGGTCAGACTGTGTGGGACTCACCTCTTCAACCCCATCTCCCCTCTGTCTCTCGTCTATCTGCACCCTGAGACTCAAATGCAGCCCCTTTATGAATTTGACCCCAGGGCTCATTGACAAGAAACCATAAAGACAGAGAAGGAAGTGATGAAATGTCAGCACCACAGCCTCACTTTGTGCCTATTTTTATAAAATAGCAGGGTCTTTTTTAAATCACTTATGTGACACCTTCAAGAACAGGAAGTTACAGCTGTGCATTGTTTAAGGTATAATCATTCTTTCTGAAATCCCTCATGGCATTTCCTGTATGATTGCAGTGTTCAGGCACAGGAAACGTGAAGACCTGGCATGCAATCACTTCTTCGTTCTAATCTAAGTGAAACACTCAGGGCGGCTTTAAAAAAAATAAATATAGGTTGTTTTCACTCTTACATGTTTTAAAGTTGTCACTCCATACATACATGTTCATATGGCTGTCTGTCCCATTCTTGTCAAAGTGATATCTCTGGAAAACTGCCAGAGAATACTTAAAGATGACATATTATCCCCCTCCGCCATCTTTTCAAACAGTCCCCTGTGGTCTAAATGAAACATCTGAGCTGTGCTTTGGTCAGAATATAACATCAATCAAGCACCAGAGGAGGTTTGTGACCCTGTATAAACCAGCTCTCTCAGAATGCTCCGTTTTGGTGTGTGTGTCTCTTTAAATGTAATGAGTTTTCCAGGTAGACATCACTCCTCTGTAGAGAGAATAAAAATGGCTGACCTGCACAAAAGTTTTGTTCTAAGCTGGGGGTGGAGTCCATGGGTGGAGATACCAGGCGAGGGGAGGGGATTTTTTTTTACATTCTCTGTTATGATGTTGCTCCTTTAAATAATTGTAGAGCCACTTTTCTTTTTTTCTTTAGTACGCCCACTGATGCTCATGCTTTGTTTTCAAGGTAAATATTTGTATGAATATATATTCTAATATTTTTCAAAACATAAACACAGTCCCCCTCCTGGCCACAGTTACTCTGTCGAGCTGTGAAATATGTTAACTGCGTCTTAAATGGTTGGCAGAGAGACGTAAATCTGCAAATCAGTCTCTTTATACAAGGTATTTTGTCCTCCTTGTTATTGGCTGGTTAAGGTCACATGACTAAAGCATTCTCCAACTGAACCCTTGACTTTTTTCAAGGAGAAATGCAAATAGAGAGGCTCCATTTATTTATTTGTTTCAGTGTTTTTATTTCCCTGAGACTCTCTCTCTCTCTCTCTCTCTCTCTCTCTCTCTCTCTCTCTCTCTCTCTCTCTCTCTCTCTCTCTCTCATTCATTATGAATGAGTGGATTTGCTCAGCATGCCTGTTGTTCAGATGATGTCAGAGCTTTGTCATAGTGGATTAGGACTACAGCATACGGCTGAACTGCACTCAGACTTTCTCACACACATACACGCACACACACACACACACAACCACACACATACACTTACAACACAACCACAGACTCACACACACACAAACACACACACACACACACACACACACACGTGCATGACGTTTGCACACAATGAAGAAGTGTGCCACAAACCACTGCCTTGGGTTATTGTGAATAATTCATGTTCTCAAAGTCACAAACACACACACACACACACACGCCCATACACACACACACACACACACACACACACACACACACACACACACACACACACACACACACACACACACACACACAAACATGTACGCACACACATGCCCACACAGACACATGTTCTCTTTTACGCAAACACTAACAGCTGCTTAAACGTAGTGTGTGTCCTCTTTCTTTCTGACTGAACTGTTTCTCATTTTCCTTTTCAAGTGCCCCCAATATTGTGCTATACACTCACACACTCACACACACACACACACACACACACACACACACACACACACACACACACACACACACACACACACAGCATTAACAGGCATATTGAGCCAGCAGGGGATGTGGGTCAGACAGACTCTGCTGTATTGGAACTGTTACTTTTTAATTAAGCTCTCGCAGCAGTGCAGCCGGGGTCCTGTACGTATTGAATATGTATTGTGCAGAGCTGTGAAAGTCTCACCTCTGGCCCCGCAGTATTATGCAGCCTTGCTTCCCCACGGGAGACACCTTGCCAAGGCCACAGCTCCACACCCCTACAGTGCATACACAAAGCACAAAAGTAGCTGTTCGGCTTGTAGGATAATTGTAATTCAGGCGTTTTCTTCTTTTGTTCTTTCTTCACCTGGTGGAATTTCACAAACTCAGATTTTCTCTGTCCTCCTCCTCATCCTCCCCCGTTGACCAAGGCTATGTGAGACTTTGTTCACACACAGAGCAGTGAGCGAGACGGCTTGTAATAGTAATTCCATTTTGGCTTACTTCCCCGCACAAAAAAAGGAGTAATGAAAAGCACCTGGCACTGATTACTACGAGGTAGATAAAGACTTACATACAAGTATTGCAGAGACCCTTTTATTTGAAGGTCACATATTATACTAAATACTCTTCACCATGTTTCTCTAACACTAAAATGTGTCCCTAGTCTACAAACCCCCCAATGATGAGAGAAGTCCATCCTCTCCGTCTTTTGCCTGCTCCACTTTTCAGAAAATGTGTGCTCAAACAGGCCGTTTGGAGATTTTCCCTTTATGACATCACAAAGGGCAGTAACCCCTCCCCCAGGTTGGTGACATTCCCACAGCTAGGTGTTTGTTCTGTCCTCTGAGTCTGCCTTCTCACCGTAAACAATAGGGCATGGAGCGAGAAAGCCCGAGACACCCAACCCCTACAGAGAGGGGGCGTGGTCAGACACACAGCTCATTTACATATTTAAAGGTACAGACACAGAAACAGCCTGTTCTGAGCAGGGCTGAAATAGAGGGGTTTATAGGCATGATCAAATACAGCATCAGAGTGGATTTAGAACAAGAAACGTCACACACTTGTTTTGAGGAGCTCTGAGACTTTTTTAAACAATTTGAAAAGGAGGAGAATATGTGACCTTTAACACCTTTTTCACCTTTCTTTTTTTTCTTTCTTAGATTTTGTGAATGTGTGTTTTTATATGTTACTCTGTACTTTTCCTCTTTCAGTCTTTTCCCTCATCAGGTTCCTGGTAAATAAAAAACCCCACACCTTTTTTCTGTTAAAATGCAACCCCCCCCCCCCCCCCCCCTCGAGATAAACAGTTGTTTTTGGAGGCAGAATTCCCATCTCTCACAAGACACACACATTGACCTACTTTTCCCCTCCTGACATCCCTTGCCAATATCTAATGGGTGTGTGTTCTGTGTGTGGATGTGCACATGCGCTTCTAGTTTGACTGTGTGAGGATGTACGCCTGTGTTGCCTTCGTTCGCTTGTTCTTGAAGCGGCCCTGTTGTTACGAACTGTTGTTTCATCATGTCAGCTTTACGGGCCTCAAATGAATATAAAACAGGCTGTAAATATTACAGCCGCATGCTTTTAGATGTTTGTTAAACTGGCTGTGTGTGGACGTCCAAAGTTTTATTTGTTACTGCTGTATAACAGACTTTTTTATTGGTATTATGAGCGATAATTTCCTTTTTTATCAGCTTTGTGTTGGTACAGTAGTATCGAGTCGGTTCACATCCTGAGACCAGGTTGCAGAGTACAACCTTCTAGAGCCGCTCAGTGTTCAGGACTGTTTTGTTGAGGGTGAAAGAGTGCATTACTCAGGGAGGTGATGGAATCCAGCATGTGTTTTCTGTCAGGCCTCACTGGATAAATAAAGGTCGTAAATTATTGCTTTGCATATCTGCACAAGTTCATTTGAGCGCCATGTCCTGACCCGTCACATTATTCACTCGGCGGTATCTCCCTCCTCCTTCATTAGTTTCAAATCCAAACAGGAAGAACAACGTCGAAGTGATTTACAGTGAAACAGATAACATGCACCGGCTGATGTCCAGGCTTTTGCAGAATAATCTGGATAAATAAAAAAGATAAAAGGGTTTTTTCTCTTAGGAGAGGAATGTGGGACAGTGTCAGGAACACAATTTAGTGCAGAATCATGGCAGCTCCTAATACAGGCGGTTTCAGCAGATGCAGGAGGAATGTATCCAGTTTCCACCTGGTTTTCATCCCAAAAGTTGATGGAGTGCAGGTGCTGGGTGTGTCTGTTCCGACTAACTCTGCATGTCTTTGCACTGTAAGTATGCAGATAACAGAAGTGATGCTTTTTTTTACAAACATCACATCAGATTCTAGGATGTGAGGACGTTCAGTGGAAGCCGTTTTAATGGTACCTGCATACAGCTCTCGAGTACAGAGACTATAGCCCTTCATTGCACCAGCCCCC